CTCTGTCCTATAGTGTTGCTATGAGTCAGAATCGACTCAATGGCAATGGGTTTTTTTTTTTTTTTTTTAATCTCTTTTTTAAGAGTGGTATTAGGAAATAAAGGCATAGAAAGGCTAGATAATTTCCCAAAGTCACAACACTAGTAAAATGAATATTTGGAGTTAAGGTGCATTTTTTTTTAGGGATTCAAGGCCCACTATATCTCCTCTCAAAGTGATTTGTAAGGGAAGTATTGACAGTCATGTAAAAGACATACTTAATGTCACCTGCCCCAGTATGGAAGAACCCTCTGATTTACCTACCCGGACTCCCACCCAGAGATAGGAGGAGGCTGCAGGGACTCAGGGAGAAGCAGGGGCAACACTCACTGGGTGAAGAAATGGAAGGAAGAGCCACCTCAGGCCCCACCCACTTTGTAGTCTTAGGGCTTTGTTCTCCTACCTGAGTCACTCTGAATAGATTTTCTGGTTCTCTCAACTTTAACCCTTTTGTGCCCGGCAGTACATATAGCAACCATGAACTTTTTCAGCCTCTGGGGTTTATTGGGAAGCTGCTGTACCACTGATAGTACATGCTGCCACAAGGCAAGAGCATTTATGACTGTTTGAAACTGAAGAAATGGATGTGTGCCACAAATTACTCTTTTCACAGGGTATTGTATGAGGTGTCTCAATTGTTGGTAGAAAAAACAGAAATTCTGAAAATTTTTATTTGTTACACATAGGTACCAATAGACCCCTGTTGGGACTCTGGGGTATAATTAGTGGTACTTCATATGTACCGCTAAATACTTAGGGTAGGGCTGTGGGAGGAGGCAACAAAAAAAGTCCATATTACCTATCAAAAAATCAGACACACTCAATGATTTAGCATGCTTCCATTAGTGAAAACACATGGTATCAACAAAAAATTCAAAGCAGAAAATAATTGGGTCACCAAAGGGATAAGAACCTTGACCAGAGGTCAACATAGACTTTACTGCTCAAGTTCTTTGAGGAACAAACATATCCAGACTTGAAATAGATCCAAATGGCATTGCCTACCTTGGGCATGCAGATGACTAAATGCCCCGTTGTCTGAGATCTTCGAGCTGAGCTGCTATCAGGTTGAACTTCTGCAGGAAGTACCAGCTGAAATGGCTGAAAATAAATGGGCAGTGTAAACTGGAATGAGCACATAGTATATGAGAGCGTGAGTTCAAGAGATATTTTCATTAGAAATTCAAGATCTACCATTCATTTAAAAAATGTGCTCAAACTTCTTAGGGGAAATAATCACACACAGGCTATGCTCTACATGCATCAACTATTTTACCTAAGAGTCTAAAAAGCGGTCATCAATGACAAACAGGACAATACCCACTGGTCTGTTTATGTTAACATGGCAGAAAAGCAATTTACAGCTAAAACTTCTTGTCATACAACATTGACATATTTCCATTTCAAAAGTCTTCAAACTAACTTATATAAATGCTCAGTATCAGCAAAAAAAATGCTATTTCAAAAGTGATAAAATTACAGTGGCTATCAATAAAATCACTGATATTTTAGAATGGTATACTATTTAACTTTAGGCAGAAGTTACCACATACATGATCACTTTATCAGTTTTGAAAAAAAAGTACTAATGCAATAGATATAAGTATTAAAAATATTAATTTTATCAAGCTACACAATGATCAGCAGTCATTTCCATGGCGGGGTTTTGTTGTTGTTAGGTGCCGTTGAGTCGGTTCTGACGTATGGTGATGCCGTGTACAACAGAATGAAATATTGTCCGGTCCTGCACCATCCTTACAATCGTTGCTATGTTTGAGCCCATTGTTGCAGACACTGTGTCAGTCCATCTCACTGAGGGTCTTCCTGTTTTTCGCTGACCCTCTATTTTACCAAGCATAATGTCCTTCCCCAGGGACTGGTTCCTCCTGATAACATGTCCGAAGTATGTGAGACAAAGTCTCGCCATTTTAGCTTCTAAGGAGCATTCTGGCTGTCCTTTCTCCAAGACAGATTTGTTCATTTTTCTGGCAGCCCATGGTATAGTCAATATTCTTTGCCAACACCATAATTCAAAAGTATCGATTTTTCTTGGGTCTTCCTTATTCATTGTCCAGCTTTCACAAGCATATGAGGCAACTGAAAACACCATGGCTTGGGTCAGGTGCACCTTAGTCCTCAAAGTGACATTTTCGCTTTTTAACACTTTAAAGAGGTCTTTTGTGGTAGACTTGCTCAATACAACACATCGTTTGATTTCTTGACTGCTGCTTCCATGGGCATTGATTGTGGATCCAAGTAAAATGAAATCCTTGACAACTTCAGTCTTTTCTCGGTTTATCATGATGTTGCTTCTTAGTGCAGTTGTGGGGACTTTTGTTTTCTTTATGCTGAGCTGTAACCCATACTGAAGGCTTGTAGTCTCTGATGTTCATCAGTACATGCTTCAAGTCCTCTTCATTTTCAGCAAGCAAGGTTGTGTCATCTGTATATCGCAAGCTGTTAATGAGTCTTCCTCCAATCCTGATGCCACATTCTTCTTCATGTAGTCCAGCTTCTCAGATTATTTGTTCAGCGTACAGACTGAATAAATACGGTGAAAAGATACAACCCTGATGCACACCTTTCCTGACTTCAAACGAGAGAAGGTTTTACCTGGTAGTGAAAAGTAGGTGCCTAAAAAATAGCTCACTGATAGGGTCCTTTCTTTTTTCTATGTTAATAATACTTAAAAAAAAAAAAGTTTGAGGCAGCCTAGTTTAGTTCAAGCCTCAGCTTTTGAGACTGTAATAGGCTACAGACATGTACTTACCTTCCCTTTGACCATTACTCGCACGTAAGTTGTTTGCACATCCACATCAATTAAAGAGGTATCCATGTACCTTCAGAATAAAACATACCAGAATCTTATAATTCTCAAAAACACTACGTTTACAGCAGTGCTAATATAAATTCGCACTTACAGGACCATTCTAAATGAAGCGAGTTTAAAATTACTATGCTAAACAGGTCTTAAAAAAACTGGTCTTAAGTTAATCCCCAGACCAAAGGAAATCCAATATATCAGCAATTTCGTTTTTAGACCCACGAGTACATTTGGCATTGATTGCCCCAACCCAAAAATATCTAAGGCCTGAAACACCAGAGGCTTGCAAAAAACAGCTTGCCACATTCTGCTCTCATGAATATTTTATTTTAAGTCCCTAGACTTGAATAGCCAGGAATGCTGAATCCACTGAGCGTGGGGCCTGCAGCCACCAGCTAGCTCCTGCTTCCTGAGCGGCTCTCAACGCCAAGCAGCTGTTAGGTAGCTGTTCTCCTAGCTTCTCTCCTAGAGGCCTTTACATCCTGCTGAATAAGCAAAGCCTTCCGTTCACTGGCGCAGCTACCCCAGCATCAGGTGGGAATAATTCTCCTTGACTCATGAGCCAGTAAGGAGCCCTGGTGGTGCAGTGGCGCCACGAGAGAGGTGACTGTATTTAGAGTACGCCAGTTGCAGTCTCCCAGTACCTGGCACAGGTAGATGTTCTATAGATATTTGTTGAATCAAGGCAGGATGCATAAGCATAAATGAATGAATGAATTTAACTTCCATGTGTACAACCTTACGCCAATATAGATGACAAGAAATTTTAGCATAATTAGTTTTGACAGAACCATGGGGACAGAAGGATTTTACTACACAGTAAAAATATCACCAGCCTTTAAAAATTTACATGCGCGGGGATGAGTAAATTTTCCATTTGAGGACTGAACATAAAGTGTGCAATGGAATTGAAACGAGAAAGGGTTACACATTCATTTAGACTTCAGAACGAAGGCTGGAACATGGAAAAGACTTAGGAGGATGAGATGGAGAATGTTTAACTGAAACCAACAGTAAGGGCAGTGTGGGGACCTGGAGGGATGAGGACGTGAGGTCAGGCGGAAGACAGCTGGCTGTTCCCTGAAGGCAGGTGATCTGGACAGGTGGGCAGAAGAAGTGACATGAGGCAGCTCGGTGTGAAGACGAAGGGACTAAACGTGGAGAGAGGCCTGAGGGTTCGTGGCTGGCTTCTTCACTCACTGTGTTTACTTTGCCAAGACTCACCCTCTGAAAATTGACCTGCTCTTGAGTAAGTCCAGGCTAACACTCCCTCCTACCTCCCAGGGTTACTGTGCAATCCAAATAAGATGCGGTTGCTGTTTGCCATTGAGTTGGCGCCAACTCATGGCGACCCCATGCGCAACAGAACAAAATGCTGCTCTGGCCTGCGCCATACCCACAATGGGTTGCAGATCAGACTGTTGTGATCTGTAGGGTTTTTACTAGCTGATTTTTGGACATAGATTGCCAGACCTTTTTTCCTAGTCTTAGTCTGGAAGCTCTGCTGAAACCTGTTCAGTATCATAGCAACACGCTATGTCTACTGACAGACAGGTGGTGGCTGCGCTTAAGGTGCACTGGCTGGGAACTGAACTTGGGTCTCCAACGTGGAAGGTGAGAATTCTACCAATGAACCACCAGTGCCCCTCGCCTGCAAATAAAGACAAAACCCACTGCTGCTGAGTCGACTCTGACTCATAGTGACTCTATAAAAATAGAGCACATAAAAAGTCCTTAAAAAGGGAAAGGCATTCATTTGAATTCATGCGTGTAAATGTTCATTGACTCCCACTGTTGGTGTCCATTCATTCATTCCCGTAATTACTGAACCTCTACCAGGTGCCAGGCAATTCAGGTGCTGGAAATATAGCAGGAGAAACAAACAAAATAAAGTTCCTGCCTTGGCCACAAATTCAAAAAAAAAATACACAAGTAAATTTATAGCTTGTCAGATGAAATCCAAAAAGCAGGGAGAGGTAGGAGGGAGTGCTGGCGTGGCGGTGTAGGCACTGTTTGGTATCAGATGGTTTATATCATAAGGTGGCGTCTGAACATGGGCCTGACCGACATGAGGCAACAAGTCACGAGAACACCAGGGTGTATGTCAGAGCCATCCAGGCTGAGGGAAACACACGCGCAAGAGTCCTGAGGGAGGTATGGGTGGGTTTGGAAGGGCCAAAGAAGTGGAGAGGTGGTGTGAATGGCTGCTAGGTCATGAACAGTACGACAGGACAGGGAGTCGGCACTAAAAGCCTCAAGGAAGGACACAGAGTGACCTGGGTGTCTTCAGACGGCTCTGACAGGAAGGGGAGGTGGCGACGTGGGCTGATGACCGTGGAGTTTTAGGGAGGAGAGAGAAATGGGAGTCTGGGGGTGGTGATGAGGGACCGGCAGGAGCCTGTGCCACCCCAGACCTTTGGAACAAAGTGTGGGGCCGAAGCTGGCCAGGATGTAAGACGGCTGCAGGGAAGGCGAGTCCTCTAGGGAGAAAGAGGCTGCTGGCATATCCTCATGGTCCCAAGACCACCTGATACTTATTACTATACAAAAGTAAAGTGGCTGGCATCAAAGCCAGGAAGGGCAGGGGGGAGGGTGGTTCGTGGTATCAGAGTTAGAAAACAGCAAGGTCCTCAAACTTACTTAAACTCTGCCTTTTTTGTTGTTGTTAGGTGCTGTCGAGTCGATTTCAACTCACAGAGACTCCATATGACATAGGGTTTTCTAGGCTGTAATCCTTACAGGAGCAGATAGCGAGATCTTTCTCCTGCAGACCAGCTGGGTTGGTTCGAATAGGCAACCTTTCAGTCAGCAGCCAAGTGCTTAACCATTGCGCCACCAGGGCACCCAAAACTCTGCCTTTAGGAACAGATATGCTATATAGTTCATAGTCATGAATTGTGGGTTTATTCACTTTTCCTTTCATTTTCATGCTTTTAAAAATTATAGTCAAGCTCTCCATCTTAAAAAAAGGAACTTCTTCTTTTAACTACTTGGCAAACCAAACTCCACTTCACAATGTGTCAGGACTCAAGAGATTGCTGCTGAGAATGAAAATGGATGGAAATGTCATTAAATTTCGACATAAAAAAAGGCCTTTACCTGTAGACAGCAAGGTCCAAGATGATCTGGTTACGCTTCTCGTCATCTTTCAAAGAGAAGTCAAGTCTAAGAAATAATACATTTGGGGAAAAAAAAGATTTCCTTAACACCATACAGATAAACCAGACGCATAATCAAAAGGAAACTTGACTGTAATCGTACAATAATCTCCAACCACAAACTTATTTTGGTAGCTGGATAATAAAGTACCTGTGTTAATTTTAAAATCCCAACAGAAACCTACAACATTTTGATAAATGAGTTGTATTTACAACACTGTTTAGATGTGACAATCTTCAGGTAAATCACATACCAAAAAAATTAGCATTGGTGCGGAGATAGAGACATCTGGTGGTTAAAGTTTTCCACACTGAAATTCTTCATGGAAAACTACCAGAAGTAGCGTTTGTTTCCCCTTTATCCAGCATTCTATTCCTTAAGTTTTAACAGTCTTGGCCTTCCTTTTCCTTGTCATCTTTTTTTTTCCCCTCCTTTCGTTGTTAACCTTCCCATCACCCTGGAAAAGGCTGAGACACTGCATATTGTTACCTCTGATTCATTTAGGAAGAATCCGAGGCTCAGGGGGTTGACTTAGCTGGGAAAGTGGCCATCTGAGCCCAAGCAGGATTCCAAAGGTTTTCAACTGTACCCTGACGCTGAGCCCTGGGTAGGGAGTTCCATACTGTCAATACATTATTCAGAATTACTGAATCCATTTTATTTTGAGCACATTCACTTGCTGCATTATTCTGTAAATCATATAACCCGGCAATACTAAAGAATGTGAGCAAAACTGTTTGGGAAAATGTAAAGTTAGCTAAGAAACTGACTGTCAGCAGTATGTTTGCTTGTGGCAGTCACTGTCTCATTGCTCTCAACAACCCAGCTGTCTGAGTTATCTGGTGCTGCTATAACAGGAATACCACACGTGCATGGCTTTAACAAAGAGAAATTCATTCTCTCACAGTCTAAGAGGCTAGAAGTCCAAACTCAGGGTGCCAGCTCCAGGGGAAGGCTTTCTCTCTCTGTCGGCTGTCGGGGAAGGTCCTTGTCATCAATCTTCCTTCATCTAGCAGCTTCTCAGCACAGGGACCCCGGGTCCAGAGGATGTGCTATTCTTCTGGCTCTTGCTTCTTGGTAGTATGAGGTCCTCCTGACTCTCTGCTCACTTCTTTCTTTTATATCTCAAAAGAGATTGACTCAAGATACAATCTAATCTTGTAGATTGAGTCCTGCCTCTAATATTGCCTCATTAACATCGTAGAGGTAGGATTTACAATACATAGGAAAATCACATCAGATGACAAAATGGCGGACAAATACACAATACTGGGAATCATGGCCTAGCCAAGTTGGCACACATTTTGGGGGGACACAATTCAATCCCTAACACCAGCCATGCAGGACTTCTTACAGTCTGTCAAACGTACCATGCGTTCTTTATCTCATCTCAGGATCATATGCTATCCTTTCTGCTTTGATTGCTTATTCCCTGATTTTCCCACCAGCCAACTCAAACTCCCGCTTCAGATATCACTTAACAGGTAATTTCAGAGAGGTTTTCTAGGGCAGAGATTTCTATTCATTCCTCACTATCTGCTCCCCCTTTTTTCATAAATAGTAGAACCCTTGATTTTAACTGGGCACATGGCTCTGTAGAATAAAAATGATACTTTCCAGCCTCCTTTGCAGCTAGGTGAGATCACATGATTTAGTTCAATGAGTGAAAGTGTTGTATGACATTTTCCAGTAATTTTCCTTAAAAGATGTGAGTATACGCCCTTTCTTTCTTCTTTCTCCCACCGAGTGGAAGAAATTGTAGGAGGCCAAGAAATGAAGCTTGGAGGCTACTTAACGAGCTATTGCAACTGTCCAGGTAAGAGGAAGTGTTGGTTTGCTCGAAGGTGGTGGTGATGGAATTAGTTAGAAGTGGTTGGATTCTGATAATATTGGAGGAAGAGCTGATGGCTTGCTGATAAAATGAGAGAAAGAACAATACAGTATGAATCCAAGAGTTTTGGTCGTAACAACTAGGTTGATGCTTAGTAACTGAGATGGTGAACGTTGGAGCACAAGCAAGTAATGGAGGCGGCTGGTAGCAGGGATGAAAATCCAGAGCTGGGTTTCAGTCATGGTAAGTTTCAGATAACTATTTGATATCCATATAATGATGTCAAATGACTAATCGACTTACCAATCTTGGTATGGTGGTGCAGTGGCTAACAGCTCTGCTGCTAACCAAAAGGTCAGCAGTTTGAATCACCTTGGAAACCCTATGGGGCAGTTCTACTCTGTCCTATAGGTATAGGGTTGCTATCAGTTGAAACTGATTCAACGGCAATGGGATTGGTTTTTGTTTTTGTTTTTTTGGTTTTGAGCTCAGGGAAGAGGCTGGGTCAATATAAGTATAAAGCAAAGCAATGTAAACACAGTACTTAAAATATAGAATTTGTTAAGATTCACAAAGAAAGAATGTAGAAAGACAAAACAGCTGAAGAGTTTGCCCCAGAGCATTTACAAGGAAAAAAAAAATGATCCAGCAAAGCCTAAGAAGTAGAGCAGCTAGTAAGGAAGAAGGAAAATCAGAAGCAAAGGCAAGAAATTGCTCCAAGAAGGAAGAGAATGATCAGTTTAGTCTAAATCCACTAGAAGGTCAAGTACAAGAGGGACTGAGGTTTGAACACTGAATACAGACATGATGTGACGAAAGAAGCTTCGGGATGATGGAATCAGTAGAAGTGGTTTCCAGAAGCAATGTGAAGTGAAGAACTGGAGGCTGAGTACAGATGACTCTATTGAGAATGGAGGCTATTAAGTGGGGGCAGAGAAATAGAGCAGTATAAGGAAGTAAAACTGGGTCAAGGGAGAATATTAAGTATGCTTGTATGCTGATGAGATTGACCCCCTAGAGGAGGGAGAACTGATAGAGAAGAGAGAAAGGGTCTTGCGGAAACAAAGTCCTTGATACGAAGAACAGGTGGGAGCAGCCAGCAGAGACACTGACTTCAGCTAGGAGCTCACCCACAGCAGCAGAAAGGAAGAAAGTACGTGGTACAAGTCCAGGTGCATTGGTAAGCTGGTGTTGGGAGGATGAGCAAACTTCTGATTGCTTCTTTTTCTCAGTGCAATAAGAAACAAGGCCCTGAATTAAGACTGAGGAAGTGTAAGGTGATGCTGGAGGGAAGGAGAGAGAAAAACGTATGCAAGCATCCTATCAGAGACTGTAAATGAATTACACAAGAAAATATAGTAAGATTGCTGGAAGTCCCTCTGAGATCTGTGGTCATCGTTTTACAGTGAGACCAGGCAGGAGAGTTGAATGTTTCCTCCACTCCAGCCACGGGTGAGGGGAAGCCCAGAGGCGGGTGGTATGCTGGGTTTTAGCAGGGTTGGAGTTTTGTGAGGTGAGTATGATGGAAGGAGAAAAGGACAAGAGAGTTGAAGAAGTGTGTCAAGCACTGATTTTTGTGATGAGTCATAAAACCAAAACAGGGTGATAATCAGTTTCTGGATGCCGAGAAAATAAACTCTAACATTACGTACTTGAAAACAATAACAGATGTTCTGCTTCTAAACAGGCACGAGTGACATTATTATTACACTCATCAAAGTTGTCAAGAGTGGTCAGACACATCCTTTGCAGAGAGGGCCTGGAAGTGAAACCATCATAAAGACCAACACCACCGACTTCACTTCCCAGGTCTCCGCGTGGCCTCACGTACTTGGGCTCATTTACATTCAAGGCTTTTCCATCTTCAGTGATCAAAGTCCTGGGTGGCTTCACTTTCTTCTTCTTTTCACTTAAGATTGGGGGTGGGTGGGAAAAAGAAGAAAAGAAAACATAAAAGTAATTAATATTTTTGTGGAACAGTTTAAGAAGAATCAATCAGACATTTATGAATACAGTAGCAATTCACTGTTATGAAGTCCACTACTTCGTTTCTAGGCTGAGAACTGACAATCAAGCTAGATGTCTATATGGCTATATCTACACCTGTAACACAAAAATGTGACCAAATGTATTAGATAGTTCAAGTGGGGGGAAAATTAGTTTTCATGAAATATCCATGAATATTTAAATTAGCCTATTTTAATGCACGATTTACCCAGATAACTGTCAACCGTCCATTTCACTTGGTGTAGACAGCCTCTGCTTTAGTTTAAATTACTATTTAAAACATACCCAGTGGAATCTAGTCTATGGAAATAAAAACACCAGTACATCGGATCTGTGTGAAAGGATGTTTATCACAGCATTACCTGCAGTGGCAAAAACCTGTAAACGCCCATCAAGGAGGATGATAGGATCAACTGTGGTATATTTATACCATGAAATATTGTGCAGCTATGAAAAAATGTCTTTACTCTTTACCTACTGATCTAGAAAAGTGTCTTTGAAAGAGCTAATCTGGAAATAATAGCTTAGGTATGGGAGTTTCTAACAAGTCATCAAATAATAGTCAAACAATTCTAAAGTGTGAGCATACTGTTAAATGTCCAGAAGAGTCGCATTAGGAAAACAAAATGTCTCATGAAACTAATTTCTAGCTATCCATTTTGTCAACAAAGGGGAGAGAAACAAAGGAGCTCATTCCACTGCCTCTTGTGCTTTTTCTTTGTATCATGATAACTAGTATCTCTGATCTAGGTCCTACTATTACTAGGTACATTTAAAGTGGTTAAAAAGCTAAAAACATACAAAATCTCACTTAAAATGACATAACTCGTACAGTTCTAAAGAAGGTGGTTTGATATTAATGAATGTTAGCAGATACAATTCAACAAAAATCTGTACTTAGCTGAAAAAAAAAAAAAAGCAAAGTCTATGTATGATGGGAGCCCTGGTGGTACAGTGGTTAAGCATTTGGCTGCTAACTAAAAGGTGGGCACTTTGAATCCACTAGCTGCTCCTTGGAAAGCCTATGGGGCAGTTCTACCCTGTCCTCTAGGGTTGCTATGAGTCGGAATCGACTTGACAGCAGTGAGTTTGTTTTTTTTTTTTTTTTTTTTTTTAGAAGTATGATGGCTGAAAAGGTTTAACACAGAAATGGGTAAAATAATGTGTGATCATAAAACATATTCCAAAAGAGAGTGCTGTTAGCCCAGTGATAAGGGAAAATGAAATACCTTAATTTTTCTTGGTTTTTCCGCTGTTTTTCCATGTGTCTAAGAGTTTCCAATCTAGATTCAGGAGTAAACAAAGAGGGCTTATTCCAGAATGCTAAGTCTTCTTCGCTTTCATCAAATTTCTTTCTATTACACTCCTCTTCTTGTATTTCTGATGCTGGAAGGTGTTCTTTGCTCTCTAAAGAAGATGGGCTAAGGAAGAACACACACAAAGCTTATCAGAGCACTACTGTATATAAGAGTTTAAATAAAACATTAAATTACTAAATAAAATATTTATTTAAAATAAAATATTTTTTAAAAAAGTATATCATGGCCAAAGTGGGTTTATCCTAGAAATTCAAGGATGGTTTGATATTAGAGAATCTGTTAATGTGATTTAATACTTCAGCAGAAAAACATAATTATCTCAATATATGCAGAGAAAGCATTCAATAAAAATCTAATATCAGTTAGGAAAAAGCTCTATATCAACTGGAAAAAGAAGGAAATTTATTTATCTTTATCAAAACCCCAGAGTAAACATCACACTTAATGATGGGACATTTCTTTTGGAAGGCATTCCTTTGAAAGTCAGAAACAAGACAGAGAGGTCCATTCTTACTGCTGCTACTCCATCCTGTATTGGAGGTCTTAGCAGGCACCATAAAGAAACTAAAGTGGAGGCATAAGGATTGGAAAAATAAAGTTGCAGTTTACCGTGTGTTTTTCTACACAGAAAACACAAGAGAATCTACAGACAAACTACTGAATCTTTTTAAATGGTCACTAAGACTGCTTAATACAATACCATTATATAGAAGTCATTCATCTCATCATACATCAGCAAGAACAAATTCCAAGTCTATTTTCAAAATCCCATCTAATAATAGATGGTGTAAGACCTTTATTGAGAAACTTACAAAATCTTATTGAAGGATTCAGAAGAAGGTCTAAAAAATAGAGCTATTCCAAAATTCAACAAGGAAAGAATAAATGTCATGGAGATGTCGATTTTCCCCCAGTTAACGTGTATATTAAATGCAGTTCTAATTCCACCAGGGATTTTTAGGGAACTTGATTGGTGGATTCTAAAATTCTTACAGAAGGGTAAAGAACCAAGGAAGGTCAAGATAATTTTGAAAAATGAGAATATCTCCTAACAGATACCAAGATTTACTATACAGCTATAAAAATTCAAACCACATGGTGTTCCCATAGAGTGATCTGGAGAGCCAATAAACTGACCCACGAATACACTAGTAGAGGGTATATGGTAGGGGTGGCCTTACAGATCAGTGGGAGAGAGATAACACCCTAATAAATGGTATGGATAATTAGCTACCTATATGGAGCAGTGGTTAAGCGTCTGGCTGCTAACCAAAACGCTGGCAGTTTGAATCCACCAGCTGCTCCTTGGAAACTCTATGAAGCAGTTCTACTCCGTCTTATATGGTCACCATGAGTAGGAATCGACTCGATGGCAATGAGTTTGGTTTGGTTAACAAGTATATGGAAAACAGGAGCCCTGGTGGCACAGTGGTTGAGAGCTATGGCGAGCTATGCCTGCTAACCAAAAGGTCAGCAGTTCGAATCCATCAGCCACTCCTTGGAAACCCTATGGTATGGTTCCACTGTGTTCTAGAGGGTTGCCACGAGTCAGAATCATGATAGCAATGGGTTTTGGTATGGAAAACAATTAGTACCTTGCCCTACACCATACACAAAGGTTAATCTATAAAGACAAAGACCTAAACACAAATGTAAAACTATTAAACCCTTAGAAGAAAGTTTAGGAAAATCTGTTTATGATACCCAGGTAATGAAGAATCTCATAAATGAGATAAAAGACAGAAAAATAAGTTTAACTATATTAATATTTTGAAATCTTATAAAACAGAACCAGTTAATAAAATTATAGTCAAGTCACAGGCTGGGAGAAGATATTTTCAAAGCACACAGCGACCAAAGGACTTGCATCCAGAACATAAAAGAGCTATAAATCAATAAGAAACAGCCTTATAACTTATTTAAAATAGGCAAAGGATACGAATAAAGGAAATCTGAAGAGCCAATAAACAGAAGAATTCAAACTCACTAGTAATTACAGAAACGCAAGTTAAACAAAAATCAAAGTGCCGTATAACCCCCAACTTAACTGGCCAATATTTTTAAGTATCGTATCATCCACTATTGGCAAAGATGAGAAACTCTCATATATTGTTGCTGTATGAGTATAAATTAATACAACCACTTTAGAAAATAGTTTGGTGGTAACATATGAAGTTGAAAAGATGTTCATACCATATGATGGGACAATGTCCCTGTTAGGTACGTAGCAGGAGAAATCTGCACACCTGCACAAGGAGACATTTGCAACATTGTTGAAGAGCTGAAAAAGGGAGGGTAACCTGCATGGCCATCCAAAGAGGGGTGGCTAAGCCAGGGCTGATCCAGTGGCACCACTGGCAAGGCCACACGGGTTGCTACAGCTGGTGCCCATTCTGGTTGGTCAGGGCCAAAGAACCACCGGCTGTTAAATACTTCGAATGTTGGGATGAACTGTGATTTACTCATCCAATGGAATGTCACTCCATAGTTCAAACAAATGAACTAGTTCTGCATGCATTCATATGCATAGATCTCAAAAATATAATGTTGAACAAAAAGCAAAGCTGTAGAAAGACATTATTCATGCTTTAAAGAGACATAAAAATACTCTTGTTTAAGGAGGCATAATTATGACAATTATGCAGTAAAGGTATTAAAAGTATGGAGGGTATCAACATCTCCCAAATATGTACTGATTTCAGGAGAGTGGACATGACTGGGGAGGAAGGGAGGAAGGAGACTGGGGAGAAATACCTAGGGGGCTTCTACTCTATCAATGATACTTTATACTTTGTATAAAAAAAGATGCAAAGCAAATGTGCAAACTATTGGCATTTACTGAATCTGGGTGGTAGGCTAGAGCTGCCTATTTAATTATTTTTTGAACATTTATGTAAGCATGAAATATTTTATAATTATTTTCTCAATTTAAGTGATTCGGTTATCAAAATATTTGAAGTATTCACCATATAAAAATCAAATCAACTGGCTATAGTTGCGATTCACTTAAAATAAACTGGTATTAAAAATTCAGATTTATAAAAAGATCGATTAGAGGGTTGTTAATCACATTAAAAATGCATTCATTATATAATTCACAAAGTAGAATATTTCTATGATGCAATCAAAATTATTCAGTTTACAATACTGTGATGTGCCCTGAACTTTCCTGAAATATTCCTACTTTATAAATCAGGGTACACTTGTTAATTCATCTTTCCTGTAGCTCTTCTATAGATATTAGTCTGAGGATGATTTCTGGATGCACATTAAAGTCACTGCTTTGGAAAGGCATTTCTTTCTAAAGGAAGAAATTCTCACACTATCGTCACAAACAATGGGATGATCATATTCTTCACCCCAAATTCACATCATATTTTATTCTTAAGTCTTCAAATAAACACAAACTACACTGGGAACACGTTGGAGAGAACATAGTTTGCTGTTTTTAACAAAAGTGACTTCGGAAGCGAACTCTAATAATTTACATACAGGGTAGCACTGATGTCTGTGTACCACCGTCCATCAAAGCCTGGGTCACTTTCCTTCTTGTCTTTGTTTTCCTGCTCTTCTTCGAGTTTCCTTTGAGCCTCTTCCTTGTCTTTGGCTCGCTTGAGGCAGTAAGCTCTTTCTTGCTCTCTGATTTGTTGTTCAATTACTGGATAGTTCTGCAATGCCTTAATCCTTTCTGAACGCTCTATTTCTTTACCATCCAACCACTTAAAAAAAAAAAAAAAACCAAAATAGTATAATTATTCAAAAGGAGTGATTCAAATCAGTTCCAAGTTGACTTTGATTGGAATATTTTAAACTTAGAAATAAAAATGTACCATGTTGTTGTTGGGAATCCCTGGTGGTATAGTGGTTAAGAGCTTGGCTGCTAACCAAAAGATCGGCAGTTCAAATCCACCAGGCGCTCCTTGGAAACCCTATGGGGCAGTTCTACTCTGTCCTATAGGGTCCATATGAGTCAGAATCAACTCAAAGGCAATGGGTTTTGGACGCTGCTGGCTTTGAAGATGGAGGAAGGCGCCACAAGCCAAGAAATGCAGGGAACTTCTAGCAACTAAAAGATGCAAGGAATTGGATTATCCTGTACAACACTCAAAAGAAATGCAGGCCTACTAACACCTTGCTTTTAGCCCAGTGAAACCCATTTTGGACTTCTAACTTCCAGAATAATAAGATAATAAATTTGAGTTGTTTTAAGCCACTAAATTTGTGATAACCTGCTATAGCAGCAACAGCAAACTAATAAAATGAACTGAGACATTAAGGCTTAGTTTAAGAGTTACAGTATTCTTTTGTCTTTCTTCACTTGGGATTTTCACAGCAGAGTGTTCATGCCCATTGATGATAAGTTGTACATACTTTGCAGCAAAGAAGAGGAACTCCTGAAAAGTAGCAATTATTACCCATTTACAGATGAAGAAAATGAGGCATATCACTCACAGATAGCAGAGACAAGAGTGAAATCCTGGTATGTCTGCTAACAATTCTATTACACTATGGGGTCTGTTTACTACCCAGACTGTCTCAGACACTTGGAAGTGGGAACAGGTGGAATCCCTTCAAACCTCTTCCACGTGGCTGTCGAGAAAAGCACTACTCTGTCAGCGCAATTCCTTTCAAGTAGATGGCAAGATTTCAGTGAAATGGTAATTAAGATTCTAAAGCTTATCAGCCTGTTTTTAAAAGCTAGTGAACACATGTATAAATACCATTTTTCATAAAGAGGCTGCTGTCTTTTGCATTTGCTAATTCTGAGAAGTCTTTCTGAAAGGAAAGACCTGATCAGCAACCTAGACGTTAACCCAGAGAGAAGCAGTGAGAGTGGTTATAACGTAAAAAGAGGAGGCTTTGGAGTCAGACATGTAGATTCAAATCCTACCTGCACCAATCACCGCATGTGTCAGCTTAAACAAGGAGCTTCAACCGGACTTCCAACCAGTTTGTTTGGGTTTGACCCCCTGCTGAGAATTTGTATTTCCACCCCAGATGTACTGAATAAGAATCTACATTTTTAACAAGAGCCCCAGGTGATTCTTACATATACATAAGAATCACCTGGGGAACTTGTTAAACTCTAGATTCTGATTCAATATACCTAGGGTAGAAATGCAAATTCTCAGCAGGGGGTCGAACCGGACTGAACCAGTTCACTCTCTGAGCGCTGGTTTCCTCACCTGGAAATGCACCTATTCATCTCCTTGCAAGGGTCGGTGAGGAGCAGAGATGACATGTGCAAGGCACCTAGCCCAACCCCCAGCCCCCATCTCAAGCACATACACTTGCAGCCAGAATGCTGAGGCACTGACACAGAGTTCAGCTGTGACAACCTTGAGGCCTTCACAGTCCCGTCAGAGAAAAGGCCCACGGTATTACACTCCAGGCTCCATTTCTCTTGACATTCAGGGTCTCCTCAGCTCACGGTTTCTGAAGTCACTGTACAATGGTTCCTAGACTGGGTTACACTGAGCCAATTGATCATTCTAAATACAAATTTGAAATTCTATTATCTGAGGCACTCATTCTCTTAACCTGAGTAATTTTACATGGGAGAAAATTGCTCTATTAATCCGACAGTCAGCGATCTCAATCACACAGAGCACAGCTGCCTAGGAGACCAAGTGTCCTCTGAGAAACGAGGAGAAAGTGTCACAAAGCCCATGCATCCATCCCATCTGCAGGAGAAGCATGGAGCCCATTCAGGCCAGCAACTCTTGAAAATACATGAAAATTAACATTACTGCTTTAATATGCTCAGCTGTATGATTTCCCTAGAAACTGTATATTTTTCCTAGAGTCAAAAATACTAGATTGGGGGCATTATGGTATAAGAAAGGAGCCCTGGTGGTACAGCGGTTAAGTGCTTGGCTGCTAACCAAAAGGTCAGTGGTTTGAACCTACCAGTTGCCCTGTGGGAGAAAGATGTGACACTCTGCTTCTGTCAATATTACAGCCTTGGGAACCCTATGGGGCAGTTCTGTTCTGTCCTATAGGCTTATCATGAGTCAGAACTGACTCAACGGCAGTGGGTTTGGTTTTGGGTTTAGGTATGGTATAAGAGACTAAGACATAGAGTAATTGTTCCCCCAGTGAGGAACGCAGACCAGCAGCATCAGCATCACTGGAGAACTTGTTAGAAACGTAGATTCTCAGGCCCCAGGTCAGTCCCAAAGAATTACAAACTCTGGGGCTGTGGCTCAGCAATCCGCGTTTCAAAGAGCCCTCAAGTATTCTGATGTATGACAAAGTCTGAGAACCACTGACATAGAAAACGAGTTTAAAAGAAGCAATGATAAAAATAATCATTATAAAAGCACACTAGTCTAAGAATTAACTACTGTGTTGTTGTTGCTGTTGTATGGCACCGAGTCAATTCCGACTCCTAGCAACCCTACAGGACAGAGCTGAACTGCCCCATAGGGTTTTGAACCACCAGCCCTTCCCTTAGAAGCCTAGCACTTAACCACTGCCTGAGAAGGGCTCCTTACTTACTGTGCTGTAGCCACTTCAATAACCCTAAGCTTTTGGATTGCTATTAGTAATGATGGATGCTCTTCAGAATAATGATGTGAACTCATTAAGAAATAGCTAAATTAAGGTCTGTGTGTTCTGAGTAAGAGAGGAGAAAATTACGTAATTTATTTTATAAAGATTTACTAAAACTATTAAAACAATTTTCAAGGTTCCATAAGACAAAGAATTAGCTTTAGTTCTCTGGAATATCCCGTTCTCTGAAACAACACATTCCCTGACAATGCCAGGAGTAAAAGTAAATCAGCAATTACGTTAGTTGCTCCTGTTCATTTTTCTGTTTTTGCCTCATTAAAATAAGCGTACCTTTAATTGTTGAAGAGTTGCCACCACGAACTGCCTGTACCCTTCAAAGTCAGCACATGGGTTACCCATTAGAAAGAGCTCCTTCAGGTGGATATGGTGCTTCAGGGTTCTGATGCTGCTCAGCTCTCCGATGAAATTTACGGTCAAGTCGAGTTTTGTCAGCCCTTCACAACCTGTTGAGAAAAATGAAAAGAAAACAAAGCAAAAAAAAAAAAAAATCACAGTGGTAATAAAATGTGTAAAATAGTACCTAACAGATAACAGTTGTGATATTTTAAATCTGTTGAACAACTGCATTGCTTACCTAGAAGTGGTTTTTCAGAAATATCAACTCAAAGGCTTAATCTCATCTTTCTATCTGCATCTGCCCTGGTTTCAACCCCACAGTCCCTCCAGCCAGGAAAAATCACTTTCCTGCCCACATCTGCAAGCCCTGGGTGGGATAACGTTTGGATTTGGTCCACATCCAGCATGAAGAAGGCCAGGAATAAGCTGCTGCTGGAGTGGCTACTACATCAGAACAGGGGTGCTCCTGCTGGGAGGACACCTGGAATCTGTCCTCTTGAGGGCACTGCCAGGTAGTTTCCAGGTAGATACATCTCATTGTGAGGGGAACAGTGGAAAGTGTCCCCAACAGAAAGGCATTTTATAAAACCAATGAATTGCAACTAATATTAGCAAGGTCACCTTAAAGAGATAGAATGGTTCCAAGACCACCAGAACTGAACTGAAGGTATCAAGGAAGCTAAAGAATAAGAGGCATTTGGTCATCAGAAGAATGAATGAAAAAGGGTGGGAGCTGTGGAAGCAGAGTTTTGTAATAATTCTGCCCCATCCATTTTCATTACAGAGCTAGCCAAATGATGTGGAAATACGAATCAAATTCAAGTTTGAATTTGATCTAACTCTCCTCACTCTCATTCCATGAGAACTTGGTGCTTAGGAGCGCATCTGTACGAACACACTCATACACAAGCTTTGTCCACTAAAAGGGCCTGGGAGCTGCCACATCCCAAAAGCAATGAGCACAGCTAGAGCTCAGATCTTGCCTTCTAAATACCATTCTCCACTGAAAGGAATCAGGGTTGCTTGGGGAAATGGCTGACTCCTGAGCTGTCATAGGCAAAATAAAAGATGACTCTGGAACATCTAGATGTGTCACAAAGCAAGGGAGTACTGAAAGAATGATGGAGACAAAGCACAGGAGCCAACCTGAGCTCAACTGGCCAAACCTGGGACAATGTGAGAATCAAATTAAATAATGGTAATAACATTGTCATTCACTGAATAAAACAAAATCCATGACAATGAGTAATGAATAAATAAACAAATGAAGAGAAGATAGAGTTCTTCCTTAAAGGAGAGAGCCATCTGAATAAATATAAGAAGAACGATGGATTTACAAAATTATTATTGAATGTTAAAAACTAGTGCATGGCATGAGGAAATGCTCGCGATCACTAGCCATTAGAGAAATGCAAATCAAAACCACAATGAGATATCATCTCACCCCGGCATTACTGGTACGAATCAAAAAAACAGAAAATAACAAATGTTGGAGAGGCTGTGGTGATATTGGAACTCTTATGCAGTGCTGGTGGGAATGCAAAATGGTACAACCACTTTGGAAAGCGATACGGAGCTTCCTTAAAAAGCTAGAAATAGAAACACCATAGGATCTAGCAATCCCATTCCTAGGAATATATCCTAGAGAAATACGAGCTGTCACAGGAATAGACATATGTACACCCATGTTCACTGCAACATTGTTCACAATAGCAAAAAGATGGAAACAATCTAGATGCCCATCAACAGATGAATGGATAAACAAACTATGGCACATAAACATAATGAAGTACTAAGCAACGATAAAGAACAATGATGAATCTGCAAAGCATCTCACAACATGGGTGAATCTGGAGGGCATTACGCTGAGTGAAATAAGTCAATCACAAAAGGACAAATACCGTATGAGATCACTACTATAAAAACTCATGAAAAGGTTTACACACAAAAAGAAACAATCTTTGATGGTTATGAGGAACGGGAAGGGTGTGGAGGGAAAAACACTAAATAGACAATAGATAAGTGGTAACTTTGGTGAAGGGGCAGACAGTACATACTACTGGGGAAGCCAGCACAACTTGTACAAGGCAAGGTCATGAAAGCTCCATAGACATATCCAAACTCCCTGAGGGACGGAATTGCTGGGATGGGGTCTGTGGACTATGGTGTCAGAGAACATCTAGCCCAGTTGGCATGATATAATTTATAAAGAAAATGTTCTACATTCTTCGTTGGTGAGTAGCGTCTGGGATCTTAAAAGCCTGTGAGCAGTCATCTAAGATACTCCACTGGTTTCACCCTTCGGGAGCAAGGGAGAATGAAGAAAACTAAAGACACAAGGTAAAGATTAGTCCACAGGACTAATGGACCACAACTACCATGGCCTCCACTAGTTTGAGTCCAATACAACTAGATGGTGCCCGGCTACCACCACTGACTGCTCTGACAGAGATCACAATAGAGGGTCCCAGACAGAGCTGGAGAAAAATGTAGAACAAAATTCTAACTCACAAAAAAAAAAAAAAAAACCCAAACTTACTAACCTAACAGAGACTGAAGAAACCCCGAGAGTATGGCCCCGGGACACCCTTTTACTTCAGTAATGAAGTCACTCCTGAGGCTCACCGTTCAGCCAAAGATTAGACAGGCCCATAAAACAAAATGAGACGAAAGGGGCACACCAGCCCAGGGGCAAGGACCAGAAGGCAGGAGGGGACAGGAAAGCTGGTAACAGGGAACCCAAGGTCCAGAAGGGAGAGTGTTGACATGTTGTGGGGTTGTTAACCAATGTCATAAAGCAATATGTGTACTAACTGTTTAATGAGAAGCTAGTTTGTTCTGTAAACCTTCATGTAAAGTGCCATTAAAAAAAAAAAAAAAAACTAGTACATGAAAGTATGATGAGGAACAGGATATTTATAGAACTCCAGAATATCTTCCAACAAACTACTTACTAATTGCAAAGTGAAATATAGTAAATTGGCAGTGGAGAAATCTGAAACCACCACCTTAAGCAAGTAGAAGAAGAAAGTACTTTATTCTACCTGGGTGAGCCCTGGTAGCGCAGCTGTTAAAGCGGTAGGCTGCTAACTGAAAGGCTGGCGGTTCAAACCCACCAGCTGCTCCATGGGAGAAAGGTGTGGCAGTCTGCTTCCATAAAGATTTACGGCCTTGGAAACCCTACAAGGTCCTGTGAGTAGGAAACAATTCGATGACAGAGGGTTTTTTGTTTGTTTGTTTTGGTGTTTTGGGTGAATCCACAACGGAAAAGAAAAAAGAATACTAGCTATTTTTTCCTGCCCTATTAAAAAAAAAAAAGAAAAAAAGAAAGCAAACACTTATTATCAAAATTATATTGAGATTTACTCAAGTAGGTGGGCTGAGTATATGTTTCCAAATCCCTCCTTTCTCACTTCAAACCCTTAAAATTAAACAAAAAGTACTTATTTCCCAGCAGATAAGATGCATCCTTCCTCCCCATTCTCCCACTCCTACCAAACATTTGATCAAAGACCCTGCGTCCAGCACACCCATGGACTACAGTCCCAAAGCTCAGACAGACAATAGTGACAATGCTGCCCTCTGGTGGTGGATTGACAAAACATACCACAAAAACAAGTTTTCACATCCTACAGATGCTTTCTTAACAAAAATAACAAGCCCTGGACAATCCAACCCAGGGAGCATTCGATTTATTCCTCTGAATTTTTAGGCTTACTTTTTACTACTACAACACAAAGATATAGAGGCAATTTTGTTGTTCCGTTCGCTTAACAAGAGAATACTGCCGAGTGGTAGCTGGAAAAGAGCAATGCCTCCATTTCTTACGTAGAAAAATGTCAAAAATGGAAAGAATCATCTCGATTCAAGCACAAATGATGGGTCTGGGGCTTCGACACTGGTGATTTTCTAGGTTTTGAGGATGAAAATAAAAAACTTACGATGCATTTTTTGTGTGATTGTTGATGCATAACCTTGATAGTCACTGAAATACCAATTATACACTAGGAGGCAATAAGCGAAAGCCCACCCTGACCTGAGTAAAGTCCTCCTCATTTTAGCAATTGGCAGATGGGACTAGGGTGGTGAGCAGCTTGCCACCTCTGCTCCATGCCCCTCACTCCGAAGGGAAGCCGGCTGGCATGCCCGCCACTCACACACAGTCCACAGCAGCCCCCCAGCAGGCCAGAGGCTGGTGGGGAGCCATCACAACTGCAGAGTGAGCCCACACCAGCCACCTAACCAATCTAATCCCTGGTGACTGTGAACAGACAGCAAGGGTCAACAGTTAACAGAAAACTAACAGCACAAAATAGAAGGCTGAAAAGCAAGACAGGAAACCTTGGATGAAGAGATGACTCTGGGAGCTGAAGAAACTAGGGAAGAAGAAGTTCTAACATGTCTCCAGAGAGACCGTAGAGATACCTCACCATGGGACGCAGAACGGAGCGCCACAGAAAAGCAGCAATCAGAGCACAGGTGTGAGTTCTTGAGAATGAAAAACTGTGACCAAAGTAAAGAGTTAATTATAGATGGACTGAATTATAGAATGAGCACAGATGAGCATGATGCAATCATTCCAAAATTTAAAATAAAATATCCCAGCATGTAGAATAACTAGACAAAGATGCTTAAATAAAGAATGTGAGTTAAGAGGAAGGAAGATCAGGATAGACAGCCAAAATCCACCTAAAAGAAGTTCTTGGACGATCAGGGAAGACAGAGAAGAGAAAATTATCTCCCCAGAAAGAAAACATATAAAAACTTCCATCTAGGCAGATGCTTGAGAAGTTTCAAAACTCTGTAGACACAGAGAAAACTCTAAAAGCTTCCAGGGAAAAAAGAGAGGTTTTCTACACGAGAGCCAGGGTCAGATGGGTGTTAGGCTTTTCATAGGCAAGACAGTATGCTAGAAGACAATGGAGTAGTATCTTCAAACTTCTGAAGAAAAATAATTTCATACCTAGAATTCTATGCACATCCGAGCAAAATCATTAACGTGCTGAAATAAAAAAACTAGTGTCAAGCTATAATTCTAAACTCTGCAAAAAATATCTTTCAAAAGTGAAGGAGAAATAAAGACCTTTTTAGATATAGAAAAGTGGAAAGAATTCATCACTAGCAGATCACGGCTATCAGAAATGTCGTAGATCGGCATGAAGGAATGAAGAAC